TGCCATAGAATGCATTGATACTAGGGATGTTAATTTCGGTTATTTTTCCTAACCGACAACCGACGCTCGTTAACCGGTTATTAACCGTTAACTGACAAGATTATTTAAAATTAGAATTGAATTAAATTAGAAAGGATAAGTGTCTGACCCGTTGAAAATATTAACATTTGTTTAATACCGGGGATTAATTTTACATGCGCAAAAAGCAGCAAACAACAGAACATGATGATTCACATGGTCATATCACATCATGCACCTGCAGTGCTTCTGTGAGCGGAGAAAAACATAATAAAGCTAGGCTATATGTATATAATTAATAATAATATTATATTATATTAATATAATTAAACAACAATAATAATAATAATGTTGTGGAGTGAGGGGAACTAAAATAGCCTAGCTATGTTTACAGTGTTTATTATAATGTTTGTAAACATTTCGCGTCAGCATTAGGCCTATTTCTGAATGAAATAATAAAATGCGACTTATATATATTTTCTCTAAAAAACCACAACTTTTTATATGCGTAGCGTATTTTAACCATGCAGGTATATAAATTGCGGGCATCAGGGAGCCGCTATTAATATGCGGGGATGCACGAACGCTTTGCATGATCGAATGCATGATCGCTCTTTCACTTTCGAGATTTGCGATCGCACGTGCTCTGTGTAAACTACAGCGGCAGTACTTACCACACATTTTACAAGATCAGATAAGTGAAATCTTATGTACTGTAATGTAACAGGCTACCGCTAGCAAGCAGCTAACATGTCCCTTTTAGTGGCTCGCGTTATTTTATTAGAACGCATTATTTATTTTCCGTGCCTTTCTGAATACAGACACCAACCCATCCCTGCACTTCACACCCCCTGTACAGCCTGGAACATAACATTTATTTCCATGATCTGCCATTTTTGCTATTATCCTCGCTTGTTTCTTCACAATACCTGCAGAACTTCTGATGCAGGTTCGTCTGGTGGCTGGCATAGAACATGGGCGGGTATATGCAAATATTGGGGGCGTAACTATTAGTGATCCCGAATGTAATGTCACAGTCGGTGTTATGTTCTGATTCGCCTATTTTTCAGTGGTCTTTTGCATGCACTAGATTTACATAATAAGGAGGAAACAATGGTGTTTGAGGTTCACGGTATGTCATTTCCATGTACAGAACTGTTATTATTCAACTATTTATATAAACATAATAAATATACACAGTACACATACATATATTATGTAAACAAAAACTTCTATTTTGGATGCGATTAATCGCGATTAATCGTTTGGCAGCACTAGTTGGTAGTATTATTATGATGAATTGTGTCCTGTCCAGATAAAAGTTTTTTAAGTGTGCTTATGCAGCCTTTTCAGATGAGCTGTTTTCAATAACTAAAAGCAAATCAGCAATTGAAAAAGAATAATAAGAATAAGATAAAATGTGACTAAAGAATACAAATTACAAATATTAAAGATAATATACATATATAAAATGAAATAGCAAAAAGCAAAAAATGTGGTTTCCTTTAGTAATACTGGCAACAGGAAGTGAGTCATCACAGTACAGTACACCTGCTTTAGGGTGAGAGGGATACTGAAGTCTGACTTACCTTTGTACACCGTTTCCTTCTTTTTTGTGTTTCTCTGTCTCTTTCTCTCTGAGTCATCATCGAATGACTCAATTCTTATCATTTTTTATGCCTGGCTTCTTTCGTTGACAGTATGCCACACATGCCACTGTTTTTCCCTTCCATCTCTCTCTCTCTCTCTCTCTCTCTCCTTTTCTCTCTGCCTCTTTCTCTATGCATCATGTCCTCTCTCTGTTCCTCTTTCACAGTCCCTCCATTTTCTCTTTTTCCTCCCTCGCTCTCCTGTATTCCGGCCAGATGGCTGAGTCCTGACTGGGCTGCATATGGGCATTTGAAATGCTAATGTTGGTTAGTGTGCTAATATGTTTGTCTACACTGATCCGTTTCAGTGCCAAGATTACAGACTTGTTTTAGTCTCAACTTGTCAACAGATAAGACCGTTTGTGGCAGTTGTTGACCTAGAGCTCATTCTCTCTCTCTCTCTCGTTATCTTGTTTCCTCTCAGTGTGGAGGGACATCCTCAGTGTCCGGACACGGCTAGCTTTTCCGACAGCACCTGTAGTCAGGGCCCATACCTGGGCAACTCGGAGCGCTACGGGAACATCCGAAACATTCCTGGCCCTCAGGGGCCTCCTGTGGCCCCTTCGAGCCCAGCGACCCTGGCCTGGGCGCAACGGACCCGCAACCAGCCCGCCAGCCTGGCACTCCGCAAGCAAGAGGAAGAAGAGAGCAAGCGCTGCAAAGTGCTCTCTGACAGCTATGAGCTCTCCACGGACCTGCAGGACAAGAAGGTGTGGATCTGCGTTCCTCAAGAAACATGATCCTTAAGGTCTTTTAGCTACCTCTTGGAGTTCCCATTTGTACTTGCCGTGGTTAAGGGTTCACCTGGTCATGGAAATTCAAAATTGTGATTTAAAGTGGCCTAGAAATTGGTTATAGAAATGAACAAATTATAATATAATATAATATAAATTATAATTTTTTTATTGACTAGAAAAATCACTCATAAATCTAAAACAATCTTTAAAAAAATAAAATTGGGAAAAAGGGTCAGTGATATGATGCTTTTTTGTCCTGATATATTAATTTAAACAAACATACAACAACAACAAAAAACATTAAAAATGAAAATCACATATACAAAGATTAAACAAAAATTACATCTCTTTTGTGATGAACATGTCATGTTCTAATTTCTTTTTGGTGCAAAAAGCCAAAAATTTCAGGATGGTACAACTGTCCTGATAGCATAATAAAGCAAAAAAAGCTGAAATTTATGAAAAGAAAACATCATTGAGTAGTTTAAACTTTTATTACAATTTCTTAGAAAAAAGAAGGTAAGCAGTTTTGTAAAAATATGAATATTTAAAAACTTTTGAAAAATGTGCGGGAACAATGCATAGTACAGCCAGGATTATATCAGATGGTCATGGCATGGTGTTCTTATACTGTATATAGTGTGAAAATAAATATATCATATTTATGTAAAATAACACAAGTAATGTAAAGAAAATCATGGTGTCATCTTCAAAAAGCAGTAATACTATTAATATCATTAATGAAAGGAAATCTTCAGTTTGTCAAACACTGTTTACTTTTTTGTGGTGTTTTGTACTTAATTAATGTTTATCCTAATTCTCAGCGGCACAAACAGCCCATAGAAAAATCTACTTATCACAAAGTGTTTGTGTTTTAATGTGCATAGAGGCCATCTTACAGGCTTTAAACTACAGTCACGCCTCGAATGTACATAATGGCCTCCGGTCATGCTAATGTGAAGCCAAACCTCCATCGTCTCACATAATGAAAGATGGGATTGCAGCTATGATACAGAGTGCTGTTATGCTTCCATATTAAATACTAAGGATCTCTGCATTGTGAAATTATCCATTCATGTAGGAGTGGCGAAAATAATCCAACACCCCAACGTCTACAGAATTACTGCTGCCCATATCGTTTTTCTTTTAATAATAATTGAGAAAGACTGCTGTTAAATAAATATTTTCTTATATTCTTTGTGTTTCAGGTTTAACCAGTAAAGCATTTAGATGCGTTATACATTATTAGGTTTGAAGAAAACAATGCATCACTTCTTTCTCTCTCTTTTGCACTCTTTATTCAGTTCTATTCCGTTTTCACGCTTTCTTACTGTCTGTTTGTCCATCTTCCTTTTCATCAGGTGGAGATGCTGGAGAGGAAGTATGGCGGTTACTTCCTGAGCAGACGAGCGGCTCGCACGATACAGACGGCGTTCCGGCAGTATCGCATGAACAAGAACTTTCAACAGCTGCGCAGTTCCGCCTCTGAAAGCCGAATGACTCGCCGGATCATCCTGTCAAACATGCGTTCGCAGTATTCGTTTGACGAACGACAGCCACAGGCAATATAACAGTATAATGGTTAAAACCTGCATAAAAGTAGAAAATTCAGCTTGACTGTGAAATCTTACATTTTGTTTTATGATGTTTACATAATTTCCATAAATTCCTCTTTTTACTATTCATGATTCTATAGGTTCAGCCCCAGACGCCCCAGCAGCAGCAAGGTCGATATACCAGCCATCACACTTCGACTCTGGGTACAGCTAGCCAGACAGGAACCACAGACTCACAGCAGGAGACTGACTCACCTGCACACTGTCCTTCAGACAGAGAGGAGTACTCACGTGCAGACGATGCTTTCAATAAACAGGTGACAGATGCGTGAACCCTTAGATTAAAGTTAGGTTTAAATTAATTTCAATACAGGTCAGATATATATAGTTGGGATAGAATAGATTTAGACTGTTTCAGAATTGGTATAAAATTGTTGTTCATGTTTCCTTTGAAACAAATGGTGTGGTCTTACAACTCAGGCATCATTTCCCTCATTTCTAAATGACAAGCCACAGCATTACACTAAAAGAACATTTGGTTACTTGTCAATTAGCTGACACTTTTTTCCAAAGCATCTTACTGCAGAAACATTCTCCCTGGAGCCTTGAAAACCTTTATAAACAGGCACAACGGTCATTAGCAGATCCAGAAAAAAAATCAGTGCTTTTTCATTTTTCATTTTGAATTCATTTAAATATTGTAAAATGGCTAATGATAAGATCAGATTAGACAAAATATTAGAAATGCACAGATATTTAAACTTCTGATACTGATATTCTGACAATTATTGTCATGTTATTTAAAACAGAACACTGAAAACTATTGTCAGTCATTTCAAATACTAAAAGCGAATTTAGGCATCGCAGAATTATCATGTACAGTATGACAAATGGATATTCGTATTAAGATTTGCTAAAAATTAAATATACATATATTTTTGTAAAATTGTTAATTTCAAATAAATGCTGTTTACATAAAAATATTAAACAGCACAGCAGTTTTCAACATTAACAGTAATTATTGAGTGCCAAATCAGCATATTAAAATGATTTCTAAAAGACTGGACTGCTGAAAATTCAGCTTTGCTATCACAGGAATAAATGACATATTTAAAGGAATCAGAATAGAAAAAAGTAAAATTGTTTAAATTTTAAAAATATTACTGTTTTTACTTTATTTTTGATCATATAAATGCAGCCTGGTGAGTGTAAGAGACTCACGGAAACATTAACTCTTTCCCCGCCAAACACGGAATTTTCTGTTATTCATGAGACAACGCTTCCCTGTCAAACACGGAATTTTCCCTTCCAAACACAGAGTGAAATGGCGATCCAGAAAGTGGTAAAGGCCTGTGCAAGCTTTGGGAGTACTGATGGAAGCCATCTACTGCATCTTTGCTTTGATAATATTACTGAATATGATCCAGATGTAGTATTTGAAAAAAATGAGATTTTCTCAGCTTTTTGCTCAAAATGTTTTTTATGAAACCTACCTACATTCAAGTGTTGATGAAAAAACAATGCTTGAAGTTAGAATAAAACAGATTTTTTTTGTTTGAAAGTAGAGGGTCTGATCTTTATTGTGATGTATTGCATGTTCAGATATTCATACAACAAAATATTCTGAGGGCCATGAAATTTTAGTGAAAATCAGCAAAAACGCTGGCGATGGCTGTGTGCTTCCTCTCTCAGGTGACATCTCTGGCTGACTCTATGGACGACACTCTGACGTGTCAGTCTGCCCGAGGGGACTCTCAGGATGGTGGGGGAGGAGGTGAGGAGAGCGAGGATTTCAGCGAGTGTGTATGGAGCCGCAAACCTACCTCGCGTAGGGTGGTCATGGGAGAGCAAGAACGTCTGGGGGTCATGCACGAGGACAGCACAGCTACCTCGTACAGCGACGTCACGCTTTATATGGACGACGGCATGCCGTGTTCTCCACTATCCATCGAGCGGGTTCCCTCCAGCACGGACACAGAGTACTGGGGCGTCAGCAGCGGGGTCGGAGGACGCGAAGACAGCCGGGATACAGAGGGCGGCGGGAGCAATAACAGCCGGCGTAGCACGCCATGCACCGAATGCAGAGATTTCCGGTTGCGGGGGTCACACCTCCCCGTTCTCACCATAGAGCCACCTAGTGACAGCTCTGTTGACATGAGTGACCGTTCAGATCGAGGCTCCCTCAGCAGGCAGCTGCTTTACGAGCAGGAGCCTACGGCGGGTGGATCACCTCAAGGGACTCTCAAACACAACCCCGTCCCTCGCACGCCAAATCCCTGTGTGGCACAGGGCCAGACGCGACCCCTGGGTCGCCCCATCTCTTCCCCTCTTCCAACACACGTACCACACCACACAATGATGCACCACCATCACCACCCACACCTTCACCATCCGTTGCACCACCACCCTATGCCGCACATCCATCACCCCTACCCAGACCCCACGTCTCCCTCACCCACTCAGCCTCCACTCACACCACTTTCTTCCTCGTCCTCCGCGCCACTGCCCACTACTGGCCTGGAGCACTCGGATGGGGACAACGACTCTCTGAACTCTACCACCAACTCCAATGAGACCATCAACTGCAGCTCAGGCTCTTCGTCTAGGGACAGTCTAAGGGAACCGTTGCCTCCTCTGGGAAAACAGACCTATCAGAGAGAGAGCAGGCATAGCTGGGACTCACCCGCCTTCAACAATGACGTGGTGCAAAGGAGGCAATACCGCATCGGACTGAACCTCTTCAACAAGTAAGAGACATTCACCAAAATAGGACTGACATTGTACTGTTTCAGTTGAAATTTTAAATGGTGAATTTAAACAAAATTTCCCTTTTTTAATTTAAAATTCCTCTTTTATACACAAGAAATACTTTTTATTAAATAATGATTTTAAATAAAATATTATCAAGAACATGCAGTTTTCCACAAATGAGCATTCTTAATATTTATTGTTTTATTTAATATTGTTTTATTTAATATTTATCTAACTATATTAATTATATATAATTTTTGTTCTTTTAAAAATGCATTATCATCCCGCAGACATATACGTATATAGTTGATTTAAAATAGTGAAAAAAGAAATGATAACCAATATCAATATATATTTCACACTTTTTGGGGGCCCAAAGCAAAACTTTTTTTAGGGGGCCCCTGTCAATGGATTCATAATTCCAAAATTATCACCAACCCCTTAAACAGTTCTTTCAGAGCAGTTTCTTTTGTTGTTTGACTAACTGACTTGCACTAACAGGTTTATTAGGCTGCTGTCACTTTAAGACCGAATGCACAGATCTAATACTGACAAGCATTCGATTACTTTCCCAGCTGTTTATGTTCACTTAAGACATAACTGACTGTGTTTAAGTGAAAACTCGACAAAACGACAGACATTTTGACATACTTTTGTGTTTATTTGTCCATTTAAATGTATACCCGAAGCCCAAAGTAGCCCAAAGTGTTTTGCTCTGTCTCGGATCACATGCACAGAAAGCTGCCTGGTGAACAATGTCTCTTTTGCAGCTCAGTATGCTTTTAACGTTTTTTTCATCAAGTACGTCCAGCAGGAAACTTTATATTACAACAGTTACATTACATGATTTTATGTGGGAAGGGTGACAGCTAAAATCAAAAACGAAACAAAAATTCTATTAATCGCACAGCCCTAGACATTAAATCATCTTTGGGAACAAGGAGGGCCCATGGTGGTTTAGAAGCCCTACGCAACTTACATACTTTGCGTATAAGGATGACCAACACTGAATATGTCTCTTATAAGTTCATATAAACATTAACCTAAAATCTTGATGTTAGAAAAGTGTTTGAGTCTATATATTGACATATCTATCTAAAGATATCTCCTCCATATGGTTTATCACACCTGTCGTATTTCATTATTACATCTTAATATTGAGGAGATGACAGGCCCAGGGTGATTTCTCTGAACCTCTTTTCTGACTTAACACCTGTATTAAAGATCACAGCTGATTTATGGTAGTACAGTTTTATTTTAACACATTACTCCTATTATAAATCATGGAGAATTCATAATGAAAAGTAACTGTAACATTTTATGATGCAAGATTGATGTGTTATAAATCATTTAGCACCTTGGGAACTTTTTAGCAGGGTGCTTTAGAAATCTAATTCTGATGAGGAAATGGAACTGTAAGCAATCAAATGGATTTTAAGATCAAATGGCAGAGATCAATAAAAGACAATGCAGTCAAGCCAAAGACAGATGTGAACCTAAATCCAATTGGATACAAAGAGTCAGATTTCATTTCTGCTGAAGTGTCTATACATTTTTCTACCCTCAGGCTGTTGTTGCTATGTCTATTTTTTCTTTATTTCAGTTGTTTAAAGTTTTACTGGAATGAATCACATCCTATCTGTTTTATCCTCACTCTCCCTGTCTTCCAGGAAACCAGAGAAGGGGATCCAGTATTTGATAGAGAGGAGTTTTGTCTCAGACACACCTGTGGGCATTGCACGTTTCATCCTGGAGAGGAAAGGCCTAAGTAGACAGATGATCGGGGAGTTTCTGGGAAACCGACAGAAACAGTTCAACAAGGATGTGTTGGAGTTAGTAATGATGTTTTTCTGTCTTCCAACCCCAGACTGTAGCAAAGCATCCATATGCTGTTAACACCAGCCTGGAGGCAAAAAAAAAACAAAAAACAGACACTGGCTAAAAAATCAACACAAACATGTTGGCAGATGAATTTAGTGATCTTTCTTTCTGTTTTTTCTTTCTCAGCTGTGTGTTGGATGAGATGGATTTCTCAGGCATGGATCTGGATGATGCTCTGAGGAAGTTTCAGGCTCAGATTAAGGTTCAGGGGGAAGCCCAGAAGGTGGAGAGACTAGTAGAGGCCTTCAGGTAGACTTTGCTCTCATCTCACCCTGTGCTCTTTTCTCTGCATTTCGTAGTTCCACATGAGGATCAGCTTCTTTCTTTCTAACAGTCAGAGATACTGCGTCTGCAACCCTGCACTCGTCCGCCAGTTTCAGAACCCAGACACTATCTTCATCCTGGCATTTGCCATCATCCTTCTCAACACAGACATGTACAGCCCCAACGTCAAAGCTGAGAGGAAAATGAAGCTGGAGGATTTTATCAAGAACCTTAGAGGTGATCCAAACTGAAAATGTCTTCAGATTAATATTTGGCTTCCAATGAAAGACAATAGTTTTTCACCTTCTGTTTCTTGTTCGTTCTCCCCCTATTTTCATTGGCAGGAGTGGATAATGGACAGGATATTCCCAGGGATTTGTTAGTGGGCATCTACCAGCGCATTCAGAAATGGGAACTCAGGACAAATGATGACCACGTGTCTCAAGTGCAGGCCGTGGAGAGGGTTATCGTGGGCAAGAAACCTGTGAGTCAAACCATGTTTCACTCATGCATGTCATACTTTTGGTTGAAACCCCATATTGTTGTTCAGCTTGTAGTAAAAAGGCCATTTGATCTCTAGTTTGTTTATTTGTGTGGTTTAGTGTGAGACAAACCAAGCTGTATTTTGATATGCTGTGTGTGTGCGTGTGCAGGTGCTTTCTCTGCCACATCGCAGGCTAGTGTGCTGTTGTCAGCTGTATGAAGTCCCTGACCCCAATCGACCCCAGCGGAGTGGAGTTCACCAGCGCGAGGTCTTCCTCTTTAATGACCTGCTGGTGGTGAGTCTTCACTTGATTTAAAGTCATGTGCACTTACTATAATTATATAATTATATTGCATCGGCAAATGTATACCAGATGAATAGGCCTACTGTTTTCATTTAAAAAATTCAAGAACATTTAGCCTATCCACCTTTTTCTTCAACGCGAAAGTAAGCCTATGGGCTACACTTCCGATTCATTAGCCGCTATAGGTAAATAACGAGAAGAATAACAATGTGCAGTAAACTGTAAAACTGTTTGTACTACAAACCAGTGTGTTCATAATTAAGATAATACATTAAAATAATATGGTAAGACACACCAATTTTCAATATCAGGCAGCAAAATGAACTGTTTTGTACAGCTAAAAATAGCTGGACGCGGATGAGACCGGAAGCTAGACCCATAGAAATTACAAATGGCCGCGCCCATTTTTACAACAAGAAAAAGGTGGATATAATATAACTGTATTTGGAGTTACATTGTACAATTTCAGACTTAATAACTGCATTTTTAGATTTTAATTTTTATATTTAGAATTACAACTTTATCTTCAGGATTTATAAATATATATTCAGATTCATATAGTTTCATATACAGTATATACATATAAAATATCTCTAGAATTAATTCATTTGTCACAATCAAGCAATTTTTGGTCCTCACTGCAGCCAAAATGACAACAAAAATAACATATTCTTTATACATACATATTTATTCATACTACTACTGCTACTACTACTACTAATAATAATAATAGTAATATTTATCTATTATTGAAGACATAAAGAATGAGAAGGTGTCAAAGCTTAAATACCTATTTGTACATATTATTAAACAAATCAAGACTATATTATATTTTAGTTTGTTCAAAATTGCCAAAATTGTTTTGGTCTAGAGTACAGCTTTTAGGCACAATGAAAAAAAAAACATTCAGTCATATGTATCTGAGCAATTTTGTGTTAAGAGTATGTACTGTATATGTATAATGATGATAACTACACAGCCTAACATCCCGTATGTTCCCGCCTTCAGGTAACGAAGATCTTTCAAAAGAAGAAGACGTCTGTGACGTACAGTTTCAGACAGTCTTTTCCCCTGGTGGAGATGCAGGTTCATATGTTCCAGAACTCCTGTAAGTATATTCATCCCTCCATCTGTCTGACCATCTGTCCCTCCTTCTTTATTTATACTATCACTCCATTCCAGCTCGTTTACACACTCTGCTCTCATCCACTCCATCACTCCATCTCTAGGTGCTCTCTCATTACCCTTTCCTTGCTTTCATGTAGGTGGTGTTTTGGTTTCTTAGCAGTATATGAAGGAGAAAAAGATGTCTATCTGAAAATCCTCTTCCATCTATTGTGGCTGTGCTGTTAATTGGGAACGTCTGTCTTCTATTTATCTTAATCAGTCTTTGTTTTGCACTTGTTTTCCATTAACAAAATATCTACACATCTTTAAAAGAAGATAAATTAGCTTGAAGTAAAATTCCACATGATTAAGAGCATATTTTTTCAATGAAATATATCTTTCCTACCCCATTGACATGCTGAAACACAGTACTTGTGTGGATTTTGTCAGAATGAGAGATCTATAACTAATTACATGAGGCACAGCACATCCCTCTTTATCTGGGTCTCTCTCTAATTGACTGCATTTACCCTCTATCTCTGTCCCTCTCTCTCAGACTATCCTCACGGTATCAGACTGACATCAGCGATGCCCGGCAGCGAGCGTAAGGTCCTGATTGTGTTCAATGCGCCGAGCCAGCAGGACCGAACACGCTTCACCAGCGACCTGCGTGAGAGCATCGCTGAGGTTCAAGATATGGAGAAATACCGTGTAGAGTGTAAGAAATCCTTTTATGTTACCTGTTGTTTCACACATGATATATCAAAAGCATGAGGTTCTTTTCCTCTTTGCAAGCTGAAATTTCAGAAATTGTTCATTATGGTAATAGTCAGTAGCCCCTGGTCTCTCTTCTCCATAGCTGAGTTAGAGAAGCAGAAAGGTGTGATGCGTCCAGGGCTCCTGAGTGGAGAAGGGGGCGGGGTTGGCGGAATGAAGACTGAAGCTGTGAACGGCACTCTCGGTAGGCCCAGTCTGGATGACACGTACACTGCAGGGGAGGGGCTTAAACGAACAGCACTTAGCTCCTCACTGAGAGACCTCTCTGAGACAGGTACAACACACATTCACACAACAAAATCCCTTCTATTTAAACTACAGCTGTCAGTTTTATGTGTTTATTTAATGGAATTGTAGCATAACAATGCAATAAGAATCAGCTCATTTTAATTATGGATGCTTCATGGATTTCTGTAGACCTATTTTATAAAACAAACAGTCTGATTTCTTAAGCCACTTTTTTTTCTGTTCATTGCTTTTCTTGTCTGCCACAATGTAATTTTTTTTTCAATTTCACTCAAATATGGACATTAATTGGATTCAGTACAAATAAATTAGTGTGTATTATTTTTATAAACTATTGACAGCCCTAATTTAAATTTGTTTTTTGGCTTCTTTCCATTTGGGGAAATATTTATAAATCCACCATAGTTTGATCATGAAAGGCCTTCTGGCACAATTTTGAAGTGCTGAACTTCTATAAAGAAGTACAGACACTGCCCTCTAATGGCACATTATGTCCTTGCCTAAGGCTTCTTGGAAAAGTGTCTGGATTTGAATAATCATATATTTTTTTTGCTGTTAGTATGTACACTGTCACAGTATGCAAAATTTCTGTATGCATATAATGTACAGATGCTACATTTGTTAAGTATGTGCAGTATATGACAGAGCAGACTATATCTCACAATACAATGATATTGACTTTGACCTTCTAAGTAATATCTAGAAGGTCGGTGTTTGATGGGGCTGCCAAGTGTTAACATATTTTTACACAAAATTATATAACAAATACAAAATAGCCATTTTATAGAGGATAACTCACAGAATTAAACATAAATGTAACGTGGTCATGTGACAAACACTACTGTTTTAAATACTTTCTAAACACAGCCAATATCAAGTTCAGTGATGTGAAGTTGAGTTTTGTCAGTAGACATTTATTCATTGTAAATGGATCATCCAGGGACAAACACCCAGTATTGAGATGTTAGAAAATGTTTTCTCCATGACCTTTGACCCTGACCTTGCTGTGCTTGGTTGGGTACAGGAAAGCGAGGCCGTAGAAACAGCGTTGGTTCTTTGGATAGTATTATAGAAGTAAGTCATGCTTATCTGCTAACGGCTTGTAATCATAATGAAATTGAATGATCTTGTGTTTCAGCTTTCCTGAATGCATGAGACTTCTGTGTTTAACAACAACGGCTTTGCATGAATTTTTGATTGTTGTGAAGTTCAGCATTTTTAATGCTTATAGTGTAAAAAACTTTATTGGTGTTTGCTTTGCATGCAGCATGTCTAATAGGTTATGCCTGGTGCTAATAACTAATGCATTTCTCTGGTAAATGAATGGCCCCAATCAGTATCTGAGGGCTGCTTCTGTTTTAGAGGTTTAGATGCATGTTTAAATACATGTAAAATGAGTGAGGCTCTATAATGAGGAAGCTTTACTTTGTTATCTGACTGATTTTGTGGCTTCTGAAAGTGACACTGTCACAGAGGCGGACAAAGTACTCAACTCCATTACTTGAGTGAAAGACTTTGAGGACCCTGATAGAAATGTAGTGGAGTGAAAAGTACAATATTTGTCTTTCAAATGTAGTGAAGTTAAAGTCATAAGTTCCCAGAAAAAATAATACTCAAATAAAGTACAGATAAAGTAAATGTACTTAGTTACTGTCCGCCTCTGCACTGTCATTTCTAACTTTGGTAAGTTGCTTGAGGCTGTTTGTATCTAATGCTGAAAGGCTTTTTGGGTTGTCACTGTGCAGGAGATGTTGAGTACAGTGATGTTACACGCCTTGTGTGCATGTACTTTTAAGTATCAAGATAAATTGTTACTCTGAATTTTTTTTTTTTTTATAGAAATGTGCCATTACAAAAACTTCTGGCTGATATCAATAAGCTGATAATTATTTTATGTTATAACTTAACCGATAAATGGAAGTTATTTAAATTATATAATATAGTAAGGCAATTAAAATTACACATTACAAATAAAATGTATTAATTTTAAATTCTGCAAGTGATTTCAGTCATAACAATGTTTTGTTAAATAATTAAAATATTAAATATAATATTCTTTTTACACTGAACTTTGTACATGATGGCTAAATTCTTTGTTTTAGTCTTTTTTTTTTCTCTTTTTTTAAATTAGAAAAAAGTATAGAATTTTAATAGAGAGCATTTATTGGTTATAACATAAAATCATTATTTCTTATAATGAATTTTAATATCGGTGTATTCCTAAGTAACGTGCGTTATTTATTTGAAAAAAGTAACTGGGAAATGCCTGTCACTTGTAACCCGTTAGTTCTGACACTGTCCATCTACTCAGTTTTCCAGTGTGATGACTGTCTGGCTTTGTGTGTTTCTGCACACTGCAGGGATCCATCATTAACAGCCCTCAGCCGCATCAACGCTTGCCCACGGGGGGCGCCGTTCCCGGCTGCTATGGGCTGGAAGACTACCGGCCTCACTCTCAGCCCCACCCTCACGCTCACTCCCACGTTCACTCTCATACCCACAGCCATCTCGTCCACGCCCACAGCCCACACCCCTTACTGGATCACTCCGCCCATCAAACTCACTTCGTTTTCTCACCGCCCCCTCAGGCACCATCCGCTATCACCGCCCGCCACATACCCCAGGGTGCCACCCACTACATCCCGCAGTATCCACCCCTCTCCTCCATCCCACCTCCTCCACCATATTCCCCGTTACCTCCACCTTCGTCCCCACATACCCCCCTCACCCCTCTTACCCCGCTCTCCCCGCTGACCCCGCAGCTCCCAGGACCCATGGGGGCACAGTCGGGTGGCCCAGGGGGCGGAGGAGGAGGCGGAGCCAGCAACAGCAGCACGGTCGGCAGCTCCAAATCCAAACTTATCAACCGTATCAGCACGGTGGTGTGAGTGTGAGCCGCGGCAGAGGGCGCAGGGTCCCAACGCGGAGGAGCCGAAGCCCAGGCAAGAGGAAGCACACCATACTCAGACTCTGTTACTTCCATATCCGCTTCCCTCACGTGTAGAGCGGGAATCCTGGCCGGCTACATGCTCATTGCTAGCCTGAACGGCCTCTTGCTGTTGGCCGCCATTCAAAACAAAGGCTGTGTAACAGCATCAAATCTCCGTCTGAAGATCTAAGAAGCCTAATGGAGACAGTGGTGAAGCAGATGAAGTGTATTTTAAGAGTTTGAGTTGAAATTGACATGCATCGCTGCCAAATGAATAGGTTACCGGGAGAAAGGGGGTGCCAATTTATGTTGGACTGATGATCTGGAGTTTAAGAGACCAAGTTTGACCGTACAGAAGTCAGAAGACGACAGTGGTGAACTCTTTAAACACTCAACATGGAGACGAAACTGGACAGATGAGTGCAAAATATAAAAGAAACTGAACTTTTTCATTCGTAGTCTTTTCGGTTTTCATGTGTCTCAGATGACAATCATTTCAGGGTCAGTCAGAAAATGTTTGCTTGACACATTCCTCAAAATTATCAAATGTATTCCTCAGCGCATAAGGAGGGCCAGCATGCACTTAGGGGGATGCCAAACACTATGTTTATCATCTTAAAAGAGACTTTTATTTTGCCCTGTGAGTGAAAGGACAGGATTGGAACTGCTGAGAAAACTTACATCACTACACAAGAAAAAAAAAAACATTATTTTGAAACTATTTGACGAATGTTTTATATTTTATTTTTTGTTTTGTTTTTTGTTGTTTTTTGTCTTGAAGAGGCTGGGCATCCGGTTTGCAATAAGTCAGTAAAAACACTTTTTTGAAGACCTCAGTGAAGTCATGATGTCATTTGCGCCAAACAGAATGTGTAGAAAGAGATTTTAAATTGTTTGGTTGATATTTTGTTCTTTTGTTTTGTTACTATTATATAAGACAATTAAGCATACAAACCTAAATGCAAAGTACACAAAAGAGTCATGACTAATAGCAACCAATAATCAGGACATAGATCAGCGCCGCCTCTATTTATTTCCTGCCACCTGTTACCTCAGGATCTCTTTTTCCCTTTTTTAGCATCACCATTTCACTATTATTTTCATCTTGTCTACTTAAACAATCTCGCCTGACCAATGAAACATTTATATTTGACAATTCATCACATAACCTTAGTGCCTATTGTAAAGGTTTGTCATTGGAGGTTTGAGATCAGTGTGATACTTTCTCTGGATGACCTGTTGGAGGAGCAGGGTGTTTGTATAGAGTGTCATTGAAATTTTGAAGTGAAATATGTACTTATGGGCTTGGTTTTGTACAGCTTCGGCGGTCAAAATGTGTTACAGATATCTGAAATATTTAGAAGTAACTGAATTTTAAAAAGAACATCTGGATATGGGTGATTTTAATAGGTTACTTTATTACTATTATGATGTCAAATACTGCTGAATATACTGAAGAATATAATTCTTGCTATTTTTGGTGTAAAAGCTACTACTAATATAATACATGGATATGTTTTAGCAGAGTGCCGTGCTGAGTGTTTTCTGGGGGGGGGTACAATTAATGTTTAGCAAACTAATTGGACTACTAATTTCAGGTAAATGTTTTGCAGCAAGTTTGTAAAACTATATTATCCACATAAAAGCTATATGAGCCATGTAAAACTCGTTGTTGCCAGAAGCCATACACACTTGAGCAACTCGCTTTAATATTGTGAATTTACGCTGAGTTGCATGTCCAGTGTCAGTGCCCTCTTATTTTTTTATATGAAAGCGTATTTAGGGGACTTAACATTTACACACAAGCACACTCATTCACACTGAGAAGCTGTAAAAGCATCTTTAAATGTGAAGATCTTTTTGTTGAAAGTTTCTGGTTTTGCACATACACAAGTTAAAGATCAGTACCTAGGATCCAAAGCTCCAATACCATCTGTGTCCCTCCAAACAGTCCCTTTCTCTTTCCTTACTCGCCCCCCCGTGACAACCAAAATGGGCCGTTCTCTCTCCATTAAGCAGAATCATTCACAGTATTACATTAGTGATGTGTTAGTGTTGAGTTTTTTTTTATACTTATAAAATGTTAACATTTTTTAAAAGTCCTACAAGGATGAAGACATCTTAAATAAGATGATTAATCTCTGCTGCTAGGCCCAGCCATTTATTTTTTATTTATTTATTTTTCATTATTTTCTTTGCCTATATAAATTATGTTGAGTCAAACTACAATACTGTTTATTCAGGTAATGGATTCCAGTACTTCAAATCTGCTAGCATTACCCATATCCGGAAACCTTAAAGGGTTAGTTCACCCAAAAATGAAAATTAGCTTGTGTTTTACTTACCCTCGAAGCATCCTAGGTGTATATGACTTTCTTCTTTCAGACGAATCCAGTCGGAGTTATATTAAAAATTGTCTTTGATCTTTCAAGCTGTTTAATGGCACTCAGCGGGTGTTGGTATGCTTCGAGGATTAGTAAAACACAAGCTAATTTTCATTTTTGGGTGAACTAACCCTTTAAGGCCTTTGTAGACAAACAGGAACTCCATGTCCCTATTCAAAATCTGTGGCGTGATCTGAATTTAGAGGGCCATTCACTACATTTCACATTTTTTTCCTATGGGTGGTTTTGCTTCTCTCTAATTCTAACGCTTTGCTCTTGTGCTTGTATTAAAAGTCCTGAGTGCTGGGGCATGCTGAGCTCAAACGCAAATAAAGCTGAGATGTATGATGTTCCTAAATTTGTAAAAAATTCCAGTAGTTTTTGAGATGCGTGTTCTGGTTTCTGGACACGCTAATGTCTTGCACCACCGTGCCCCATGTTGCATGTCTGCACTTAGCTGAATGATGCTGTATAAACCTGAATGTATATATTAATTGATATAAATATGCCATATTTACTCTGCACTGGACTGGTGAATCGATATCTGGCTGGGAATGGGAACATGAACCATTGTTTACATTTTAAGGACCTGGGGGTGGGGGGCGGGGGGCTTGGAACGAATTGTAATTGTAAAATTGTATCAGTATGTGTGTGTAAGAGCAGTTCCTATATTTAAAATTAATTGTATGAAGTTTTATTTGTATATATGTATGAGGTTTCAATGCAGAATTAATTCAGAGAAACTGTGATAATTTATTGCTCTCATTCTATAAAACGTTCTTGCTGTTGGAAAGTTGTTTTTATATATTTCTGAGTGGGCTGTGTGTTTCTCTATTTTGGTGTGTGTGTGTGTACAGTATGAATGTGTGTGTTGTGTGCATCCAAGTATGAAATCAGGTTAATGACAGATTATTATATTAAGCATACAAAATTGTTTTATTTGTTTTCAAATGTTACATATTATACGGTCTCAGCAATGCATTGAAATAACCACTCAAGAACTAATGCACATTACACATTGTATAATTAGGACTACTGATATCAATCAACAGGTACCATATGAGTATAACTGTAGATTTCTAAATTTTGATCTAACACCAAGACAGAAATGGCAAATGATGCCGGATAAAGTCCTCTGGTCACATACATGTGTATACTGAGAAATGGAAGTTCTCCACTAAAGTGTATTTCTGGCATGTACATTATAGTCAAAATCATGCAAAATTAGTTGAGCTGAACAAGTGGCTCTCATCACCAAACTGGTCAAAACTCTTAAGGCCATTTTCTACAAAATTTTCAAAGAGTTTTGAACACTTACAAATATGTTAACAAATTTGTATATCATTAAATAAGAATATCCCCTCTTTTTAGCTCCGCTACACTTATGTCCACCACTTCAGGTTAAATGCTCCTAATAACAGTATATCAAAATGTACAATTTGTTTTCATTTTGAAGCTGGTTAGATTTCATAGGGTTCCAGTGTGTTTTGTGCTTCCCCTTTTGCTGGTGTTTAGTATGTGTCCGCACTAGGCCACATAGGCTTGTGAAAGTCACTCCTTGACTTACGGTGTTAGGGAAAAGAATTACCATACATTCAAAAATTAAAAAGCACATTGTGGCTTACATTGTGCTTTTGTCATATTTGGGTCATAATGAACAGTACAGAAGAATAGTGTAAACAGACAATCACAAACATGCAGTACAAATGTTCAGCACCACATCTCTGTATGAAAGTTTAACATGATTGTGTCTGCACAGGTTAAGCACTTATATGATGTAATTAGAGCAGTAAATTGTACAAAAGTCTTATTGATATTCCATCCCCCAATTATTCTTAATGAAAATTCAAGAGTTAAGAAATTGAATCATTCTTTTGTGCAGCTGTGAGGAAGTTACCAAATGAATTACATTTGTCCAATATGTTTGCTTGCAATGAGCAGATTTTGATTAAGACCTGTCTGCTTGTACAGTTTGTGGTGTATACGTTGTGCTTGTCTGTGTACGTTCAGTCAACATTCATAATCTTTTGAGTGTCTTTGTCACTCAGCCATGTGCTGTTTTCAGTTTAAAGTCAAACAGAAATCCTCGAAAGCAGATGCTTGACCTCAGAGTGATAATGTCTATTGAGAAGCAATACAATGTGACATTCATTAATCAAGAAAATCACATTTTTCCTCAAACTTAAAAGTACCGCCACGCGTGAACAATTACTTGACTTTTTAATTAGTATTTTTTTTATTTGCTTTCCGAAAAACTTAAAAATCTTTGAAAGGTACATTTACTTGAGAAACAACACTAAGACTTAAAATAATGTATATTTTATATGGGCATGAGTATAATCAATTTTAAAACAATAGATGAGTATCTATGAAGACAAGTTTTATCTAGTGTTGCTTCTCAAGTAAATTCATCTTGTTTCAGGGACTTTAAGATATTTTAACTTCAAGTACTCGTTACAAAATGATTTGTTGAAATTAATGAGCAGTAGTTGCTAGATGTTGCTCAGCCATATTAGTAATGTAGACAGATGACCCTTGAAACTGTTGAGAACTGTTCAAGAAAGTATTTGATAATTCGGTAAAATAGATTCTCTTCCTGTTGTCCTTCCTCACCATCCTTTCAGACTGTGGTAACAGACAGAAGAGGATTATACACCTTCGTCCCGTCTGGAGAGCGAGAGCCATGTGCAAGTAGCTCTTGGATGGTGATCCAGTTGTCCAGAATGCGTCGGTTGCGTTTCTTGGAGCTCTTTTTCTGACTGAGCTCCAGGATTGAGGCTGGGTTCTGGCCGGACTCCGACTGGCTCTCCTTGCCCATATCCAGACCGTGTTCTCGCATATATTCCAAGCGACTTTGCATCATAAACTCTCGGCGTCTGCGCTGCTCGCGGGCCCTCAGCAGATGTTGCTTACGCTCTTCTTTGCTCCAGTAGCGACCCATCTTCATTTCGCTCACTGCGTCGTCATCAGTCGTCATTCCGCTACGCTCCTCACGGATCTTCATAGCTCGGGCTTTTAAGAGCCGGTCTCGGACAGGACGTTTGGCCACATAGCGGGTCCCATCGCTTCTTATCTTCACCTTCCACTCCATGCGTGGTGATGCAGGGGGAAGTGGCAAAGGTAAGGCCAGAGAAAGCTTCACTGGGCTGGGGTGAGGCAACGACTCAAAGGTGCTATTCCCATGGCCCTCACGGCCACTGCCGCCCACTGGTGCCTCACTTTCTCCTTCCACAGCTCTATCCAAGGGTCCAGAACTCTCAGAAAGTGAGGATCCCAGATGCATGCAACTCTGGTAGCGTTCTGGAGTGAAACCGTTGGAATGACGGCGACGAGTGAAGTAAGGACTTGACTCCGCACTACGACCTCCATTCCTGTTATGGCCACTCACCCTAGAATTTACACCCTGTGTCACTCCTTCAGGCATGCGACGGACGGTTCCTTCTCTTGTGAGTGAGCAGAATTTCTGGTTCATAGGGGTGTTAGTCTGAAACTTCTTGTAGCTGCTTGGTGAATATGAACTGTTGAGGCTTGCTCGTCCTCTTTCACTCCAGGTTGGTCGGTCCCTGTGTCTGCTTGGCAGAGGACTTGTGGACTCATCGATTTGAGAAACTGGAAGTCGATGCTCACTCACCATAGGTGTGCTCCTGCAGCTCTCTCCCCCGGTGTTGTAAGCGCTGGTGCTGTCCTTGTCCGAACGTTCCTTCTCTGGAAGTTCATTGATGTCAGACAACTCATGTAATGGAGACCCCTGAGGTTCTGCAGACGCCCGGCCTGATGTTTCTTCCTCCATCAGCCAGGCTTTTAAACAGCGTTCTCTTAACTGCTGCATCTTCTGTGCTCGTAGAATGTTCCGGCACTTGAACTCAAGGTGCCTCATTTCCTCTTCCAGAAGCGCCATCTCATGTGGAGTCAGGTTCTCGTTACTGTTCTCATCCAGAGTCTCCTCCCTATTCTCAGCATCCTCTTGTGTCTCTCCTTCTTTCTGCTCCTCTTCTTGAACCTGCTGCACTTTCTTCATCCTCTTCTCATAGCGACACTTGATTTCCAGAAGCTGCCTGTACCTCTCGCATTCCTCTTCTGTCAGGCCCGGCATTATCATCCCACTGACGGGATCGTGAAGGTAACCACCACCCACGCTTCCACAGTCCAGTGAGTCTGTGCTAAGGTGAAGCTCTCGGAGAGGGAACAGCGGCGATGGCGTGTCGTTCCCTCCTCCACCGTTCCTGCCAGGTCTAAACTTGCGCAAGCTGCCAGGTGTGTTAGTGGCATTTGTGTTGGAGGTGCTGGTCTGCTCATCGCCCAGAAGGATGTCATGCTCGGAGGATTCTTCGTTCTTTGTGCTCTCATCTGTTCGGCCCACACCACTGTCGAGCTCTTGACTGTTGCTGAGGGTTGCTAAGCTGAGCATGAGGCTGTCCACACTCATCCCTTCAGGTAACTCACAGTCAATCTCCTCTGGGTCCAAATGAGTGTCCGTCTAGGTGAAAGGCACAAAGGAAGGGAAGATAAAAAGAAAGTAAGAGGGAAGAGTTAGAGGCTGAACATCACCAGTATTGCAATAAAAATAAATACATGCAGTAATGCACTTCAACACTAGATGGCAATATAGACATTTGTTTAAATGTGTGCAACATGTTTAGTTGTAAAGCACATTAGGCCTATTATTATTAAACCACATTAAGGTCTAGTATTTCCATACTTACACACACAAATATATATATTTATTTATTCAATTAAATTTATACATCCACCTTATTTTTCCCGAAAGAGCAGGCGTGGCCATTTGTAAATTTAATGTGTGTGGCCTCCTGTCTCATCAGCTTCCAACCATTTTTAGCTGTACAAAACAGCTCGTTTTGCTGCTTGATATTGCAAACTGGTGTTTCTTACCATATTATTTCAATGTGTTATCTTAAATAGTTAAACAGTTTTTCTCTTTACTGCACTTTATTCTTCTCATTATTTTCCTACAGCGGCTAATGAACCAAAAGTCTCGCACATTCACAGAAAACGGCTTACTTCCAAATTAAAACATAAAGGTGGATAGCTGGCATTTTGAACAGCGTCTTATGAGATATTTATTTCATGATCACTGAGACTTTACCAATTAAAAAATAAAACTATTTTCTTGTGAGATACTTTATAACTAAGTGGCACTATTACTCTGACTGTTTTTGTGTTCATTTTAATTTGTGACAATTGTTATGACTTGCTACGAATCAAGATTTATTGATGAATACAAATTTATTGAAGCATTGATTTGTTTACCCTGAGTATCTTTGTCTATAGATGGCAGCCAATAATCAATTGCAATTATCACTTGATTATATATCAGACTTTCATAAAGAGTAACACAGGTTGTTTTAATGGTCTGCCCGTGACATTTCTTGAGCATATTTGTCTCTCTTGATTTAGTCAGCTTGTAATCTCTTTCTGTAAGTCAACAATCCCTTGCTGTTTCTCTATCACTGTCTCTCTTTCTCTCTCAATCTCTTCCTCTCCTGGTCTGACAGCTCCACTTGTTTCTAGTCTTCAGTTCATCATTAATCTTTCTGTGTTGCTGGGAGGGTGACTGTGGATGAGAATGAGAGGTACAAAATGGCCCCCTTTTTGTTCTGATCTTGTTAGTGCTGAGCGTTGGCTGAAATGAGCTCCCTGTTTTATTCATTAGCTGACGGCTGTGCTCATGATAGATGACTTTTGCAGGCTGCACACAATAACCAACAGCCATTTTTTCAATATCACCACTGGCTCCCCAGAAATTGCTGAAAAATTGACACGGTTACAAAGTCAGAAATTCAGAGCACCAGCTCTGAAATAGGTGCTCATTTAGAACAGTTCATATTTGTGTGGTGCAAGAGTAAAAATGCTGTTAAATTTGTATTAGATAAAACAAAAAATTTGCTTGCACAGACAACTTTAAGATTCAGATTAATTGTTTCTGCAGGTGTTATTCTCATTTATAAATCACTTTGGATGATCTGCTAAACAAATAAATATAAATCCACAATTAAAATTCCAGCACTGGTTAAGGGTTTACATTATAATTGTACGAAATGCAAATTTACCCAAAGCATGAATGTGCATCTGCACAACCTCATAAGATGGCTTAGTTTATGTCCTTGGAAACTGCTTACTGTGGAAAAAAGCGTGATATCCTTCCTTACTATAGTGTGCCTTGCTTGTACCTCTTCATTTGCCCTCTCTCTCTCATACCTTCCATCAATTCCTTCAATTACTTCTCCTCTGTGCATGTCTTTCTAATGGAGCACTTTTCCCCTCATTCTGTAAGCAGCGTTGCTCCATCTCACTCTTCATCTCCTTGTGGAATAGTGTTAATGGAACTGCCACAAATCCTTGACACCCATCACTAAGAGTGATCACATGATTGAGACATTGAGTGATGTGAGACTTCTGTTTCCTTTCCTTCAGCAAAATAAGCCATTAATTTTAGGATACGCTGTCGTTGGGGACAGAGTGGGTCCATTAACTTTGCATGTGCCTCAAAAAGCCTATTTTTGTGTGTATGTGTGTACCATTTAATTGCTCAGAGGATATGAGATTTGGGGGGGATGATTTAATGGTTTATGTGTTCTTTTAGTGTCTGCTTTGTCTAAAAGGTTTCTCCTAAAAAAGACAAAATATGGTGTTATGAGAAGCAATTTGCTCCATTTTATCATATTACAGTCTAGGTCAAATAATTGATATGTAAAAGACGTTTCATTCTATTTTGTTAGCATGTACTCTCATAAATGTATGTATTTTTCCTCTTTATTCTAATGTGTTTCTTTCTCTTTCACATTTGTGTTATATTTATTTACCTCTATCTCTGGTCTGGCCAGCAGTAATGAGAAGTTGGTGCTGTCCTCACGGGTCAGGATGGCCACCGCTTCCTCTCGGTTCTGCACTTCCATCCCATTTATCTAATGTGGGACAGACAGAGACTTCATTCACAGCCATGTTCAAACACAAAAGGTCAGCTCTTTTCCCAAAACAACAACATCAAAACATCAGTAAAAGAGTGGTCCTTGGTGTCAGTGTCACATCAGAAACCAAAATAAATGAAGAACTTTTTGAGACAAAGGCAACATGACACATTGTCTTTGCTGTTCTGTAATTATTCTCTAGAGTAATTGTGTGGGCTGTGTTAAAAGTCACACCAATTATCTGTTTATAGACTGATTGTCTCTAGAAACGCTTGACCTCCCAGATGAACATAATGACATGATGATGTCAGTTCATCAGTGGTTGTTGTTGATGTCATTTGACTCTAGCAGCACATCTGAGCAAAAAACATACCTGTAATATCCTGTCCCCCTTCCTGATTCTTCCATCTTTTGCTGCTATGCTGTTTGGATTCACCTAAGAACCGGGAATGTTTAAATATCAGCTGGATAACTTGAATAACTCGGCTAAATACTTAGTATACGGTTGTGTTGAGCAGCAAAATAGCTTTCAGCCTCATGTGGTCACTCACTTCCCCAACGTAGATGCCTTGGTCTTCCTCATCGTCTGTCCGGTAACAGACTGTTAGCCCCAGTTTATCCTGCTGACTCGACTTATACAGCTCCACCTCCTGACAAAGACAGAGAGGAAGAGCTGTTTATAGGGCAGAGATTAAACCCTCGGCTTTAAAGATGCACCGAGACAGAAAACCAGCTAGAGCAAATTTATGAGATATTATAGGTTCGGGTAATGTGTACGGGTTACTGGTCTTCTGTTAACCCATGTAATCCCATTTTTTCCCCTTAGAGTGAATGTGTTTTATTTATATATTACATTATTTATTTTATTATATTATTGAATCAACCAATCTGTATTTAAAATGATTTTATTATTTTTTTAATGAATGATTTTATTTTATTTATTTATTTTTGCAGATAGTCACAATTATGAACATATTATGGAGAACAGCTCTGGGCATTTATACCACCCAGGGTTTAAAAAAAAAAATCAATGGGATTTAATTAGTTTAAAATATTGGTTACTCGTGTATGGTTGAATGTAAAAGGCTATTACGATTTTTTGCTGTCCCACCTCATATTCTAGTTCCTCTTGTTGATCCACCTCATGGTTGGCAACATTGAAGTAGTCATTTGGATCACTATATTCTTGCCCCAGAGAACCACTGTGAAAAGACATGTGTTTCTTCAGCAGGTTTTCAGCATTTGTCCATCCCACAGACACACACAGATAGTAATGAGAAGTGATCAAGAGGCAGAGGACAGTGAAGACGCTCACAGGTCATTCAGCAGGTATGGCTCCACCGGCTGTGCGAGGGGAGGGGAGGGTGGGGGCATGGGTGATCCACTGTTCGGGTAAGACCCTCTGTCCCCATTCAGGAAGTTCTGGAAGCTGATGTCGGTCTGGGTGCCGTTGTCCACACAGTCTGTGATCTCCATGAGCCGAGCCGGGCCAGCAACTGCACCCAATCTCCTCCTGTGACCCTTATGTACCACCTGAAGCAGGAGAGGGTCATGAGGTTGCCCATCTTTGTCCTGGGACAGGTGAGATGTTCTTCTACCTTTGAGCTGCAGACAGTGAAAAGAATGCCATTGTATGCCCATTTAAAAACGTATGTACTTATTGGTTGTTATTGGTTGCACTTCTAAAAGTGCTGAAGCAGCACTATAGAGAGAATGAAGTGGAGAAAGAGGGAGACAGGGATAAGAAAAATGAGAGAAAGAGAGAGAGGGAAGATAAATGCACAAATAAGCAAAACTCAAGGAAGGATGTAGTTCTGCTCCTCCTTGGTGAGAAGAAACATTGCAAAGCAGCAAAAATGGCTATTGCAAGACAAGCATGAGCTCTCCATCATCCCATCACAAAAAAAGAAATAGAAAGACAAGAAACTGCAAATATATAAAATACTGATTTTATAGAAGATTCTGCTGCTTTATCAATCAAAAGTCTGGGATCAGTATGGTTTTTTAAAATGATTATTTTATAGTTTCTTATGTTTACCAAAGCATTTATTTAATTAAACATACAGTAAAAATGTACAATTTAAAATAACTGTTTTCTGTTTTAATATAAGTGTAATTTATTATTGTGATGAAAAATCACAATTTTCAGCAGCCATTATTTCAGTCTTCTGTGTCACATGATCCTTCAGAAATCATTCTAATATGCTGATTTGAATTACCTTTGAACAGTAAGGTATAGACATGTGATAAGACAAACTGCAGATCTGAGTGGAATATGTCCTACCTTTACTTCTGCATCAATGGGACGCAGAGTGTTTCCCTTCTGTGGAGAAAAACAGAGCAGAACCAGATTAAAAAGGGTTAACATGGGCAGCTTTGAACAGAAACAACAACAGCTGTGTACTGCAGTGTTGTATTGATTGCTGGTTCATTTTGATTAAGGGTGATGTTAATCTTTATAACAGTTAATGTTTTAGCAGGCTCTTTTTATTGCACGTCACTGCTTGCACAGTACTATGACAAAGCTACAAAACCTCAAAAATAGTGTTTATGTATCAGGAAATTATTTTGGTTTAATCTGTTTTATGTATACAGTGTATTCAGTGCTTTTGATTCCAATTTGTCACGTTTTTTTTTTTTTACTTGCCACTCAGCATGTCAACACTGTCCTATACAAAAAGTATCAGGTATTTGTTACAGACATGAGTTGCAATCATGGTTATGACAAAAAAAACAAATACCAGCACAATTACCCGAAATTATAATGATCTATGATCTATAATTATAGATTAATCCAAAATCTATAAAACACACCAGAATAGTGAAATATATAGGTAAAATTGTGAAATGTTTTGTCCCATGTCTTCAGAATCAGTGACTTATGAAATGATACCATGTACTACATGTGCTGTTGTGGATGCTGGTTAATGACTTCCAGTCTATTGATTTATTTATTGTTGTTATAACGGACAGATATCTGACAGTGCAGATTTGAATTTGTACATTGGGACAGTTCATTCAATTACAGGCCTTACGGAGGGACAGATGAGAGGTGTTTTAACCCTCAAGAATACAACCCACAATCAATATAAGGTTAATACTACTGAAAGTACTTTTGACAACCCCTCCTATCCCTCTCTCTCTGTTCCTTTCATCCTTCTCAAAGCAGTCAAGCTACAGATAGTTGACCCACAGAGACCAGGTCTCACCTCAATCCTTATGCTGTTTGACTGAAAGTCTTTCGATGTCTAAAAGAGGTGAAACCTATTTATTTTTCATTGTGTTTGGCTCATTATTGATCCTGTCAGTGGCTTTGATTACAAATGGACTGCTTGCACAAGGGATTCAGAGTTGATGGAGCAACAGTGATATTGGCAAACATGGACTTAGAAAATATTTTCTATATGTTCCCTGACTCATATAGAAAATGCTTATTAATGTATGATTCTCTCAATGTATTAGTATTTATGATTTGTATACATGAGATCATGGGGAAGTTTTACATCGGAAAGCAGTGTGTTGGAAATTTCCAAACATTTGTTTTCGTGTTTTAGAGAAACAACAGAGTGTGCCGAATTGACTGTGATGGAATTTCTTCTGCATGATTAAGTTGCTTACAGAACTCAGTGGGTGATTGTGCTTATCAGTTCAATACCAGGAGACAGCAATTACATCGCTTTAACTCCTGATACACCTCTATTGACCTTCACCCTGTACATTTGCCCCTGTGGAATAATTGCATTGCTAATGAAGGAGCTTCTGAAGGCGCTCACAGATACCGCAATGCACATCTACACCCCAACGATCCCTATCATGCGGGACGCCTGCATTAACTCAGAGTCTGTGATACCAAACATGCCGCATTGATTATGCCACTTTCAAAGACATGCAGCTGGAAGCATTAAAAAAAAGTCATATTTTTTTCTTTTTTTTTGTAAAAGGAAATGTTTAACCTTCAGAAATTGTTCATCTAGTTAGTATGGGAACAAATTCTTTTTTTTTTTTATAAGCTTTAAAAGTATTGTTCATTTTTAGTTTGATACCCAATGCAGGTATCAAACACAAGTCACAATGTAACAGAAGTAGAAACAAGTCTTGTCTTCCATATTGTGACGTATATCTGAGACAGATCAGAAACAGATTATTGAAAAAGAAAGAAATGTAAGGCAGGGACCTGGTTGTTGATTGACTGGAGGCAGATCTGAAACTGATTGTAATAAAGCGAGAGGGTTAATGCGGACTTAATGATTGGAGACGTCCAGCGTGCTTAAAGAGAAGTCTGGCATTTCATGGGGAGATTAAGTTTTTTATTAAAGTGATTATTATTAGCATTTGAAGAATTATTAGCTCAAAAAATTGTTAAAAAAATCTAATTAATGGACGAATCCTTCACAATAAGTTCAATAAGATGCATTTAAAAATAGATAGGGTGATTTTCTAATTATTTTAGCTACTATTACTTTGCAAACTGTTACAAAATATAATTTGTTGGATAATTTTTGTTACAATAAATTTGGTAATTTTAGAGGCAGCTGTCATCGGTACTACAATCCGTGTACAATTTAAAATGTAATGCCACTTTCCTTGAATGATGTCAGTTCCTGGATGCCACATTATAATTAAATGTTTGTTTTTTTAATAGGAATTCAATCAATCATATGTAATAGTTTCCATTTGCAAGCAAATACCTTTTTATTGCTTTTTGTGTTAAGTGCCTTATTTGTTAGACATTTTACCTGCTTATTGCATCTGTAACTGCTTTAATGCATCTACTTTGCCACCTCTGAGGTGTATATTAGTGCAGCAGTATGAGCTTTTTATTGGAGTGCAGGATATTTGTTGTTGCATTTCCACCGACGGCCTGCTAATTATAAAACAGAAACAGAGGGCTGTTTCCCCACTAGATTCTCCTCCAAATAATTATTCTGATTATGGCTCTTTTTCCCGACTTTCATTTTGAAATTAGCTTGCTTCTCTCAATCATCTTGACCCAGTTAAACAAAGTGTTAGAAATGCTAAACGTCTTCACAAAGGTTCTAAGCACTTTAGAAAACTAGGTCAACTCAGTTTGAGGTTCTAAATTGTGCCTTTTACATTGTTCCTAAACTCTATTCCTGTCCTCCCTCCCTCTTTCCATCACCTTCCCCTCAGGATTTCGTTTTGCTTTTGATTAGAGTTTAGAGGAGGGAAACTCTCTCTCTTTCTCTCTCTCGCTCTCTCTCCCCGCCCCTGGATTGAACCTTAACCTCCTCTCTCTTTCTCTCTCTCTCTCTCTCTCCCCGCCCCTGGATTGAACCTTAACCTCCATTAATCCTGAGTCCTGAGCAGTGATATATTTATGTTCAGGACGGGGCAATAGCAATTTTTGTTCCTACCACTGCTCCCGATCAGGGCAGGGCAAGGGTTGTGCTAGAAACCAGAGAAGAATTTAACTAAAGGTTACTTGTGCCCGAAATGTCAGTCTGGATTAGTTTTACTTTCTTCTTTTTTACCCCCATTCTTGGAGCAGGTGAAGGGTGGACCGTTTTATCTTTTTTCCTTTCATGTCGCTGCATGTTTGGAGAGACCTCCTGCAGCGTGGAGGGCACATGAGTAGATTTTGTTTATTTACATCAGTGTTTTTTTGTTCAAACGGCTGATTTAGTGCGCTCGACTATGTGTGTGTGCGTCTTCGCCGTCATTATTGCGTCTACGTGCGTTGCAGTGAGAAAGCATATAAGTCTTGCTTAATGACCTCAGTTGCCTTGGCAACAGCATCCCATAGAGACAAATTTGACAGGGTATGTTAGGTAGAGGCAGGAAGACTGAGAGCGCGAGAGGGAAACT